AAGCAGCTAATACAAAATAAGGAAAGTGCAAACAACAAGAAACATGGCCTAGTGACTAATCAGTAACAAAGATGCGTTGTCCTGTCTGAAACACTAGCTTTTAGGAAGATAGTCCACTGAAGTCGACTAAAGCTTCACTTTTGATGTTATGGCAATAGATTATTCTGGATATTCGGATGGTTATCCTTAAAACCAAGGATTCCAGTTCTAACCAAATCACACACTTTGGCTTTCAGTGCATAACAATGCTCTAAGTCGTGTCCTGGGGTGCCCTCATGAAATGCACAATGGAGATCAGCTCTAAATCCAGCTGGAGGAGGACTAGAAGGAGGTTGCAGAGTCTTTGTAGTGATTAGCCCTTGTTGAACCAGATCAGGGTAAAGTTCTATATATGTCATGGGAATAGGACCAAATTGATTCCTATTCTGATACTGGTTTTGTTTAACACTTGGACGTTGAGGAATCTGAGATGATCGTGGAGTGGTGATAGCAGCAACAGTAGGAGTAACGACAACAATAGCAGGGTGATTATACTGAGGTTGGGGATGAGGCCTCCTCACTTCAGCCATGACAATGTTGGTTTGATATTCTTTCTTCTTATGGAAGGTCCCAAAGGATTTCTTCACGCCATTAGAAGATTCAGCGCCTTTTGATACTTTACCATTTTTCAGTCCTTCTTCTAACCTTTGGCCAATGGTCACCAGATCTGTGAAGCTCGAAGAAACACTCCCAATCATCTTTTCCCAATAGAAAGGAGACAAAGTATCCATGAACATTCCAGTTAGCTCCTTCTCCGCTAGAGGGGGTTCAACTTGGGAAGCTAACTCTTTCCAACGTTGAGCGTATTCTTTGAATGACTCTCTTTCACCCTAAGACATATTTCGGAGTTGGCGGTGTTCAGGAGCCATGTCCAAATTGTATTTGTATTGCTTCATAAAAGCATTGGCGAGATCCTGGAAGCAGTGGACGCTATTATGCTCTAAGTTCATATACCACTTGAGAGAAACACCACTCAAGCTATCCTGAAAGCAGTGGATGAGCAACTTCTGATTGTTGGTGTAAGCTGCCATCCGTTGGAAGTACATGACCAGATGGGCTCTTGGACATAAGTGACCTTTATACTTAACAAAATCAGGAGTCTTGAATTTTGCAAGCATAACGAGACCAGAAATTAGGCACATATTGTCTGCATCAACGTTGAAGAAGTCAGTACCCTCGACAACTTTGAATCTCTTATCGATGATTTGAAACTGTTCACGGACAACCTCATGCTCAACAAAATCTTCATGGTTTTCACCATGAGCACTGGAAGCATTGTAGTCAAAGAAAGAGCTTGAGCAGTCTGGGCAACAGTGTGGACCACAGGTCTGGGCTCAGTAAAGACGAGAGCTTGAAAAAATGGTCTGACAGTCTGACCAATCATAGCAGTAGATGCAAGGGGTGGAGAGTAGTTGGGAGGTAAACCAAACTCTGGCCAAGTTGAAGGCGGAATTTGAGCAGGAGGAAGATCGACACTTGAAACTTCCTGAATGATGGTCCTCTGAGATGGCTCTCCTCTGGAAATCAGTACTTGAAGCATCTCGGTGAGCTTAGTTATGCCTGATTTCAACTCATCGATCTCCATTCAAATTTTTGCATTATGTACTTCTTGCTCTGACATCCTGCATCTATAGTTAGCTCTAGTCTAATATCGGCGTCGAGGAATTAGCTTGACGACTGACAAGTCACATTGGAAGATGAAGACAACTGGAGATGAGCGACTGGACAAACAGATGGTATGCAACGAACCATGCAAAGATGCAAATGCAATGCAAGACAGGATGCAAAACACATATAACACGATCAAAGATTTGAGATCATAACATTAGGTTAAAAGATCTACCCATCCCCAAGGATTTATACTATAAGTTATTTATACTTGCCGAACGGGTTCTATCAAAGTTCCCAGAGTCATAGTAAATCCTTCGGATATTGCCATCTAACGCAACTACTTACGTGATTCAACAATATTCTCAAGATAAACTCGTCTGAGTGTAGCATCGCATGACAACTATAGAGGGACTACTCCCTAACAATTTCCGTGCTACGTGCTAAAAAGGTCAAGTGGGGTAAAAGTGTTACTAAAGGTCCTCAGCTTCGCAAACTCATATTGGAACAATTAATGAATACACGACTACTCATGTATTACTAACCATCTCAAAGAGTCTTCACTGAACGTGATTACATTATATGTTAGACATATTAGGACTACTCCCAATAGCCCAACTATTGATCCTACCACAATCCTATCTCACGTGTCACTCAAATCCGGGTTAAGATTTATCTCACCACTCAAGGCACCCAACCCAAACAGATATATTGACAAATATACACAAATATACAAGCAAGCAAACATATAACAAACATAAATATAAACAAGGTGAGCTTAACCCTCTTAGGGGAGTGAGTCCCCAGTGAAGTCGTCATTTCTGTTGCGGTGAGAATCGGATATCAAGCTATTGAATTAACTTGAATCATAATTCTTAAATTCACAACCGGACTTTAATTTATCCAAGGGAAAGGTTTAAAGAAAGAAAAACCTTAAGTGCGCTATGTAACAACAACGCTAAGAGATCTAAAGGTTCGGGGGTTGGTTATGCCTAGGGTAGGTATTTCACATCCTAAACATCTGTAGTACTCTACAGGAACCTCTTATTAGTATTTGTGTTATGCTAAAGTTGCTTGCTAAAGGAAAGTGCTAAGGTAAAGATCTAAAGTATATACAAAGTATGCTCGCCAAGACATCGCATCTCGTGCCTACGTATCTTGACGGGAATGGAATCAGAGCAACCGTAGTTCCCCTAACTAGGGGTGAGGAACTCTTGACTATGGTCAAGGTTTCAGGGGGCAAGTAAATGTCTGCGGTGAGACACCTACATAGAGTGCGGCGACTCTAAACTAAAATAAGTTAACAAGGAGTGAATGTCCACGGCGGGACGACTAAATAGAGCACGACGACTCCAAGTCCTATGGCAAAGGTAAACATGGGAAATGTCCACGACGGGACGAATAAATAGAGTACAACGACTCCAATCCTAAGTTGTAAATGTTAAAAAGAAGTTAGTTGTTAGTGAGGGAAAAAAGAAAAGAAAAGTGTGCTCGCCAAGACATCGCATCTTGTGCCTACGTATTCTTAACGAGAAATCAGAGCGTTTGTAGTTCCCCCTGTTAGGGGTGAGGAACTCTTGACTGTGGTCAAGGTTCCAAAGGGATGTAAGCATTCATATGGAAGTACTTACATGGAGTGCGGCGACTCCTGAATCTATATTGAGATGTTATGGTAGAGAATTTCCACGGCGGGACGCTAAACATGAGTACGACGACTCAGATCCTAAGGGTAGGATAAAGGTTAAAGGTATATGTATGTCCACGGCGGGACGCTAAGCACGAGTACGGCGACTCGAATCCTAAGGCTAGGATAAAGGGTAAAGGTAAAGGATATCATCATACATTGTCACAATAATGTAGACAAAAGGTTCAAAACTTCATGGGGATAATCAAAAGTTTTTAAAGATGAACCACTTAAATGCTTACAAGCAAATTTGAATTTCAAACTTAAATGCACAAAGGAGACAACAAGTCAAGTTCATGTCATCTTCAAATAAAACTCAAAAAGGAATAAAAATCAAAGTTTTGAAAATGAAGGAACGAGAGATAGGAGGGTGAAAACCCTAAAATGAATCATAACTTTCTTTAATGTAAAGCGTTTCTAAAAATGAGATTTTAGGATTCTTTAAACATTTTATGAAAGTATGCAATAAAATAAGATTTATGCAAAAAGAATGATTTAAAAATGAAGAAGTTGTGTTAATTTGAAAATTAAATGAACAAAGCATTAAAAAGAAGGAAATGTCTTACCTAAGGCTTGAACCCAAGACCTTGGAGTCATGGACACAAAATTATGCCGAACCAACCACTTCATACACACATAAATTGATGGAAATGGAAGTTAAAATATTAAAAACCAAGAAAAACATGAAAATGATTAAAAATACCCTCGCTGAGGATTGAACACATGGCAAAGTTTTTAAAGGCAAGGCAATAACCACTAGGGTGGCGATACATTCATTTTATCAAGCCACCCCAGTTAGATATGTACCTAACAAGACGCATATTCTGGGCATTTGCAAGGCAAGTCAAGTGGAAGTATTGAAAAACTATTTGGTTCTAAAATCTTCAAATCTTAACCAAATTTAACAAAATTAAAGTCAAAATTGATTGTTTTTTCATGAGGAATAAGATGGTGCTATTCATTTTTTGAGAAAGTGCACACAGTTAAAAGCACGAATGATCATGCTATTGTGAGTTTTGAAATGCATTTTGCGACTTATGTATTAAAACAAGTGCAAACAAGATCAAGGAAAAACATGAACATGTTTCAGATATGCTTCTCATGGATAAAATTAAAAAAGAAAAACAATTTCTGTCATGAATTAAAAGATACTCATCAATTTACAAGTTTGGTGAAATGTCTTTAAAAAGATCATGTAGTATTAATGCACAATGGTGACAACCAATTTTTAAAAAATGCCATATACTCATACGCTCAAAATCCCCCAATGCAGCAGCTAAAACATGCCAAATAGGGATTGATCTAATCCTCAAGACAAAAGGGCTGATCAACAGCATGCTCATCACTGACTTTCGAAAATAAATATTTCTTGTAACTTCCTTGGCCCCAATATTCTTAAACTCGAGACTATTTCTTGTAATATTTTTTTAAGCAAAATATTATGTTTTGTAATAATAACAATAAATAAAAACATGAAAAGACAGAAAGAGATAATAGTATCTAGTGTGAGAGGGTTTTGGTTGGGGGTTTGCAAATTGCAACCGCACTGAAGCGTCTTCTTCTTTCATAAACGGAACCCTTTCTCCTAACCTTTCAGATTCAGATTCAGCATCACACACACTATCTGGTGAGTCTATTATCCCTTTTGCTTGCTTTTATCTGAACAAAAATGATGGAACCTAAACAATTATCTCTTACTTCACCTAAACTCTCTTTTTTATCATCTTCTTCTACCCCTTTATCATTTTTCGTCTCAAACAAACTTCAATTTCTGAAAAAACCTAATTTTTCCGTTAAACTCAATTGTTCCCTTCCAAAATCCCAATTTTTTGGAAGAAATTTGGGTTTGTTTGTTCCATCACATGTTGGTGGACCTAGGTTTCAAATTGGGCCGATTAGAGCTGCTGTGAAGAGAAGAAAAGAGATGCCTTTTGATAATGTGATTCAGAAAGACAAGAAGCTTAAATTTGTTCTCAAGGTGAGGAAATTACTAGTCAGTCAACCTGATAGGGTTATGTCTCTTCAGGAATTAGGTAAGCATAAACAGGAATTAGGGTTAGATAAAAATAGGAGATTGATTGCAGTTTTGAAGAGATTTCCTGGTGTTTTTGAGATTATGGAAGAAGGGTGTTTTTCTCTTAAGTTCAAAATGACTTCTGAGGCTGAAAGCCTTTATCTTGAGGAATTGAGAGTTAGGAATGAAACGGAAGATATTGTGGTTGATAAGCTTAGGAAATTGTTGATGATGTCTTTGGAAAAGAGGATTTTGTTAGAGAAAATTGCTCATTTGGCGACTGATTTGGGACTTCCGAGAGAGTTTCGCGACACGGTTTGTCATAGGTATCCGGAGTTTTTCAAAGTTGTTGAGACCGAAAAAGGTCGTGCGCTTGAATTAACACATTGGGATCCCCAGCTTGCGGTTTCGGCAGCAGAGCTATCTGCGGAAGATAATCGAATTAGAGAAATGAAAGAGCAAAATTTGATTATAGATAGGGCTCCTAAATTCAATAGAGTAAAGCTTCCTAAGGGTCTTAATCTTTCAAAAGGTGAGATGAGGAAGATAATGCAGTTTAGAGACATTCCTTACGTATCGCCTTACTTGGATTTCTCAATGCTTGGTTCGGGAACGCCGGAGAAAGAGAAACATGCTTGTGGAGTTATTCATGAGATTTTGAGCCTCACACTTGAGAAGCGAATTCTTGTTGACCACTTGACCCATTTCCGTGACGAGTTTAGATTCTCTCAGCAATTGAGAGGGATGTTGATAAGACATCCTGATATGTTTTATATCTCTTTGAAAGGAGACAGGGACTCTGTGTTTCTAAGGGAAGCATATCGAGATTCTCAGTTGGTATACAAGGACAGATTGCTACTTCTAAAGGAGAAGCTTCGCTCACTGGTTGATATTCCGCGGTTTCCTAAAGGTAGAAGAGGTGCTGCCCACACTAGAATTGGAGATGGCACGGAAGAGAATGATATTGATAACAGACAAAATGAAAGTGGTGATGAGGAACAAGAATGGTCACAAGGTGACGACGACGGCGAAGATAATGATGATGACTGGATTGATGAAGAAGATGGTGATGATACACCGCCAGATTTTGATGAGGAGGAGGCTGAAACATTGGAGATTGAAAAGAGAAAGACAATTACACACGTTCAAGACACAAGACAGAATAATGAAAGGGTCCTTGATCCATCATTACCTGATGGTCGCCCCAGAGAACGGTGGTAATCTTGAAAAATCTTTTCAAGCTCGTGTTCGGAGTTTTTCTTGAAAGAAATTGCTAGTGTTGTCAAGTGTTTGATGGAAGGTGAAGAAGGAAAGCAGCTTCGTTATAAATTGCTGTTAACTTGTTAAACCTTCTGATGTAATAGATTTGTGAAATTCTGTTTATATTTTATCCCGGATCTGATTTTATCCAGAATCTGTGATTGAAGAATTGTTTTATTTTTGTTTTAAGAATTAGATAGATCTATTTGTTTTTTTGTTTTTAATAATTGGATCTGTTTTTATTTTATTTTTATTTTAATAATTTGTAATAATTGCTGGTAATGAATCTGCGTGGTTTTGGTTAGATCTCACATGCCATTGATCTGGCTTATGTTTTTCACATGTGATATGTCTTTTTGAAACTCTGGTTCTTGCTTAATGGTATGTTTACACAATTCTGTTTTGAAAATTTTGTTGGTTTTGAGATTGAGTTTGCATTGCTTTAAACTAACCTGTTAATAGTTGGACTATGCTTGTCCGGGAAATTGATGGGTATCTGGTGGTCGGACCGTTAGTTAATAGAGAAGTCGCTGAAACCGGTCCAAACGGTTCAGAGTGTTTAAAGTGGTTAGATAATCAGCCACACGGGAGTGTTTTATTTGTGTCATTTGGAGTAAACTTGCCTCTGTTTGCTACTGCTGCCTATCATTATGGTTTGCTTGCTTCATTCCAAAATGTGTCTATTCAGCTTAACAAAGTTATATGATTTAAAGGGTTGTTGCGCATGTTTAACTGCTGTCAAAGAGCACACATTATCCCCTTCTTGCATTGGCAAAATGGCTGTGCATAAATATACTTTCTTATCATGGCTTCACATTCACAAGGCGCACAATGTAATATATGGGCGCACAATGTAATATATGCTGATTTTGAGTTATAAATTCTGCAATTTGCTGCAGCTTGGTCCAAAGGAAGAAGATGTTGAAGAGCTTTTAGATCCTTTTGTCTTATGCTGATTTTGAGTTATAAATTCTGCAATTTGCTGCAGCTTGGTCCAAAGGAAGAAGATGTTGAAGAGCTTTTAGATCCTTTTGTCTTCTTACCGCGGTTTATTTTGGGTGTCCTTGCAGCTGCATGGTTTACATTGGTTCCTATTTACATGTGGCTCAAAGATCAAATTGTTCCCAAAGGTCAGCCAATATGAGATATTTGTAGTTAGTGATATTTGTAGTTAGTGTGCGCTTTGATACTATCAACGTCTCTGTTCAAAGTTTTATGAAATGTAAGATTATTACATATGCAGTTGAGAAATATTATATCAAGACTAATAATCGGTAGTTTCTTTTCCTAGTTGAGCTCTGTTTTTCTGCACTTTGCTCACGGAGATGCAGGTAATAGGACTGGTTTTGGTTTCTTTTATGATTCTATTGTTTTGTTTTGCTCAAGATCTGTTTTTACATTTTTGGTACAAAATTACAGTTTTTCCAGTTTTCCCATTTTTGCAATATGATGTACAAAATTACAAAATTGCAATTTGATCTTTTATGATGTACAATGTCTGGACTGGTTTGTTCCTTTTCTCGGTAGTTTGCATGATCATTGCACATGTCAGCATACATTACAGGGAAACAATTTAGAGAAGAAGAAACCTTTGTCACAAAATACTATGGAGATGTAGTTCAAAATCTTCTTCAATTTCTTTAATGTCACAAAATAAAACTTTGTTTTCTTTCGTGTTGGCAATTTTAGTTTCACAATACTATAATCCATTTTAACCAATTTTGTTTGTTATTGCAGGCAGATGTAGATAATAGTGGCACAATTCACTATGGAGAATTCATAGCTGCAACAAATTACATTTGAACAAAGTTGGTAGGAAAGATAATTTAGTTACAGCTTTTTCATATTTTGATAAAGATGGAAGTGGTTACATCACTCAAGATGAGCTTCAAAAAGTTTGTAAAGAATTCGACATGAAAGATGTGCACTTAGAGGAAATGATCCAAGAAGCTGATCAAAATAATGTGAGTACATAATATTTTCAATCATGCTTTTCCAAATCTCGTACAACTTTTGACGTTGTTGCTATGTTCATGTTTTTATCCTTTCAGGATGGACAAATAGACTACAACGAATTTGTTGCTATGATGCTGAGAGACAATGCAGATTTAGGCAACAGTGGTTCAAAGTGTAGAAGCACTAGCTTTAACATTGGATTGAATGGTGTTTATAATTGAATATGCAGGCTGCTTACAATGAGCGATTCTTCAATGTTATTTACTGGTTTCACAATGGTGTTTTGGTTGTGTTACTACATGGAATTTATGTTGAATAATTCAAATTTAGATTTTATATGGTCCTTGGAAGGATTAATTTTAATTTAGTTAAACAATTTGGTTGTATTAATGTTATTGAATTTGTTTTAGTTAAGAGAAATATGAGTTCTAATAGTAATTTTAAATGTATTCTAACAATTTAAATTGTGAAGTTTTGGAAGCCCAATATATGGCTCATTTCTTAAAAAACAAAAAAAAATGACTTAAAAAGTGTATTTTGACCATTTTTAAAATTGGGTCATCCTTAGTCCAAATAAAAAAATGTATACATTTTCTTTGGGCCAAAATCTGTAAAATCCAAAAATAACCGACTTAATAATCCGAACCCGAATATAACTGAACCCGACAATCCGAAATTACAATCCAGTTAAAAATGGATTATAATATCCCATCCTATGGATTGGCCGGTTTGAGGTTTTGGGCCCGAACCCGATCCGGTGCCCAACCTTACCTGGTTTAGAAAAGAGTGAGCAACGGTTTTTATGGGTAGTCAGAAGCCCAAATGATAAAGTTGCTAATACTTCTTATTTTAGTGCTGCAACGACTTCTGATCCTTTTGATTTTCTACCTAAGGGATTTCTAGAAAGAACTAAAGGAAGAGGTTTTGTTGTTTCATCATGGGCCCCACAGCCACAGGTTTTGGTCCATGGGTCAACTGGTGGGTTTTTGACTCATTGTGGTTGGAATTCTATTCTTGAGAGTGTTGTTAATGGGGGTGCCTTTGGTTGTTTGGCCACTTTTTGCTGAACAAAAAATGAATGCTATTATTTTAACTGAGGATGTTTAGGTTGGGTTAAGAGACAAAAAATTGCTAGTGTTATCAAGTGTTTGATGGAAGGTGAAGAAGGAAAGAAGCTTCGTTATAAAATGAAGGATCTTAAAGAGGCTAATGTCGCTACTGCGAAAAAAGGTGTCGGCAATGACAGAAGAGTCGTCACCGTTCGTTGTTTATCCCAACGAGGGAAAGGAAACGAGGAGAGAAAACCTGACGAAAAAGGGATAAGATTGGTCATCGCAATCAAATCTTGGGTTCGGGAGTCGGTTATGCAAGGGGAAGGTATTAGCACCCCTCATGTACGTCGTACTCGACGGGATCCACACTTGGTTGTCTATGTAAAGGGTGTGTTTATCTATCTACCTAAAGGTCTGGGACAAAAGAAAAGAAAAGGACTCGGCAGAGCATCACCGCTCTGGGCCTACGTATTCCCGTCTGGTACGAGAAATCAGAGTCAACGTAGTTCGACCAACTACGGATGAAAGTGGGGAAAGGTTGCTCGCCGAGACATTGCGTCTTGTGCCTACGTATTCTCATCTGGTATGAGAAATCAGAGCAAATGTAGTTTGGGCAATTAGAACACCGGTTGGTTCAACTGTTTTTACCCGAGTAGGGTTAACAATCAGTTCTAGCAGTTAGGTGTATGCAGCTCGACCATTGGAAACTTAGGCTTACCTGTTTGCAGTAGAACTAAGAGTTAACGAAACTCTTTTTATGAAAAGGTTTTCCATTATTAAGGGGTCCCAAGGGACAAAATGAAGTTTGATCATTTGTTTTGAAGTCTTTTAAGGAGAAGTGTTTTTGAATTGTTTGTAATTCATATTGCACAAAAGACTATGACTTGGGAGCGAATGCGTCGCACAAAGGGTGAACACTAAACACTCTAGGCCATCAAGAGGAAACCCCCCAATCACCATTTCCCAAGTACTTAAGGCTCGTAGCGTACAATATTCATTAGCCTTTATTAAGTATTTTGAAGTTGTTTTGAGATGAGAAAGAGAGAGAGGACAAACTAAAAGGGAAACTAGTTCAAAACCTAGTAGTTGTCATGCAATATGAACCTATAGTTGAGGTTAAAGGGAACCTACTTAATGTTCTCATACATGGTTTGAAACCGACTGTCTATCACAATCATCCTTAAACAAGGAGATTGGAAGTCCTAAGGGAGCATGGTAAGAAAAGAGAAGAAGAGAACATGAAATAAGACATGAAATAGGAATGAATGAATGCATATGCAATGCAACACACAAGCAAAGGGAGGAAATAGTGTGGGGTGAAAACTGAGACGTGGCACAAAATCATACAACATGAAAGGGAAAGAAGGAGAGGATTGAATGAGATGATGGGAGGCAAAGTGAGAACCAAGGGAACTCACAAGGGCTACTCAACCAAACATACTACATCCAATATGCACTCAAACGGTCTTCAAAGGCTCACTACTTATGGCATGCCTTAAGTTCCTCCAAAGGAGGGACCAAGCTTCCATAAGTAGGATCCTAAAGTCCTAGGACAGAAAGAGATGAGGGAAGAATGTACCCAAATTAAATGAAAAGAAATGCACCAAAGAATGCAAACAAATCATGACAAAAGAGTGTAAACATTCAACATGTGCACAAGCAAAACCCTAAAAGAGAGTCCTAAAAGAAAGGAAAGTATCAACAAGTTACAAACCACATTAGGACCTATAATTGAACCTATACATGCTTCAACATCTTAGGGGTATAAAACAGCAAGAGTTGGTGCTCAAAAGTTTGCACAAATATCATTTTCAAGGCCTATTAGTTCAAGCATGTGTGTAAGCTTCAATTATAGGACACCTAACTTGTGAAATACCCTAAAAATAACAAACAAACTCAAAAATTATCAAATAAAATCCTAGATGGCCCCTAAGGTGTTAGGAACCAGGGGAC